GGGGAAAGTCTAATTTAGAATTCCTTGAGCTAAGTCTCCGCCTCGTCCAAACAAACACTGACAAATGCTTCGAGTTTAGATTGAACGCGGAGAGAACAAGTGAGTTTTCCTTATTAGCGGTATCCCAACTGGTATTTGTCTATTCAATTAGACCTCTCAAAACTTACCCTTGCGTCATTAGTCTTTTGAAACAATAAATCCAGAAATCTTAAAAAAAATCCCTTTAGAATCACACTTGTTGCGACCTAGTCAATTTTAGAACAAAAATACTATTAAGCGCGTTTTGTTCTTTAAACTTTACTTGATAATAAATTTTTACTAACTCAATAGTATTTTGACTATCTATTTTCTAATCCTAAAATTCTACATTCTTTTCGTTGTGTTTGTAGGAACTAGAGATGGGAAAAACGGCTATTTTTAAATATCAGATCAAGACTCACTCAATAAAATGAATTAGTGTGTGTGTGGTGATTAGTGACCGTTAATCGATATTTATTTAGAAATCGTGAGATGCGGTCTGGTGTGATGTAGGTTTCAGAAAAACATTTTCNAGAAAATGTTTTTCTGAAACCTACATCACACCAGACCGCATCTCACGATTTCTAAATAAATAAGAAATGAATTAGCATTTTTCGTGGTACATCGCTCGTGCTAACCAAATTTCAATTTCACCAAAGACATTGCTGTTCAATACGATACATAGATACATCACCCCAACGATTAGTTAGTTTAGTTCAATTAACGAAACAAAATCTTCATGATAATCTATCAGCAGAGATCTATATAGATAGACACAACGGATAGACTATCGGACACAACGGAAGAAAGTAAACGGATAAAGGGTATCCCTTCGACTCCAAATGAGGACAAAATGAATCAGCTCTTTTAAATGACTAGAGCTCACCCAAATAATTCCGAATGGAAAGATTATTCTACTTTTTTTAACCATTTGTAATTTTTTTTAAATTTAGGAATTAATCGTTAATTGTATACTGATGTTATGTGACGTTTGAGATATTATGTACATGCATTTAAAGAAAATTGGTTGGGGCATGTTTTCTGTAAGCGCCATAGCTGTCAATATTTGCAGAACCAAGACAAACTGACTTGATTCTGTAAAAACTTCAGGCAAGATCATTGGAAACTCGTACAAATTTATTTTTCTATGTGATTTTGTATTTTGGTAACAAGGTTGGAATGAACAAAGGATTCAGAACTGTGTTGTTGCTGTTATGTAAGAAGAGGTGGTTGAAGTTTTGAAATCCGTCAGAGTTCATGAAACGATGTCAGTTTTGCATTCTTCAAGAACGTGGACATTTTGAATATTTTATGAAAAACATAAAATTCAGTCCATAAAAATCCAAGTTAATATGATAAGTCGTAATATAAAAAACAGTTGATTCAATAATATTTTTTCCTCCTGTTAGCCATCCTCTCGTTGTTTAACTTGAACAGATGCTACGTAAAGAAATATTGCTTAGAATTTTGTTTTAAAGACTCAAACGAAACGACCTCTCTACAAATTGTTTGATTCAAGTTTCTAAGATTGTATTCTTAAACAATTATTGTGCTCCATGAACCTAAGGGCTTGAACACAAATATCTAAAGAATCCGGACCTTACGATCCAAGAATTGCTGAAAAGCCGATATTTCAAACTCATTCCTTTTTTCCTCCCGCTAAGACCCCACGATAACCATTTGGTTATATTTTCAATCTGCGTAGATGATTTTATTTGTCTGTTTTTCTATATCTAGTTGCTTTGCTTTAGCCATTTTTTTAAAGTGGAATTATGCAGTCTGCGTTAATGCGCGTAGACAGAAATTGGATCAAACTGATTAACCCCGCTAGCGGCCAACGACGAGAATAGGTCAGACCAGAGAAGATGATCGATTTTGATCAATCTACTGTCAAACTTCCAGTTAAGATGAGGCCGATTCGTTGTCATGCGTATGATTGTATGATTTTTCAAGTACTCAATCATATTTTTTTTATTTTTTTTAACGCAAGCAGAAAATTAACAATTTAGCTTTTACGAAAATATTTAAAAATTTCAACTTATACCAGACGAACATCGGGCATATGAGGATTTGACACTATCATACTTAAATATGTGTATGGTTTAATAATTATAAATTAACGCTCTAAGACTAGAATATTATGTTGGCAGTGTTGCTTTCGCATTTTATCAGGATATCGTGCTTCACTTGGATGTTTACGTTCAATTTAAGTTGTGAAGTATTGTAGTTCGACTTAAACTTCCATGACGGCTCAACCCGAGTACACTTAACGACTCGCTTGTTAGATCGAAGCACTTCCAAAATATCCGAATAATTTGCAAATTAATTAATTTTGGAACAATCATCCATACACTTACTTGATAATGACAAAGGCAAAAGAAAGAATTTAGTTAATTTGACTGACAAAGTAATGCCAGAAAACTTTCGTTGAATGTATAGGTTTACATCTTAATTACAATTAATTAAGGTTTTTAGTTGAGATAAAAAAGTCAATGGCACGAGCGGGATTCGAACCCACGATCTTCGGCTAGATACTTCACGATACCTCAAGTGGTAGAGCAGCGGCGTATCAAGCCGATCGTGGGTTCGAATCCCGCTCGTGCCATTGACTGTTTTATCTCAACTAAAAACCTTAATTAATTGTAATATAATAATTGGTCAAGCGGACCACGAAATTAGTAGAATTAAATTTTAATTTTGAATCTTTATTTTAATATACTTTTTAATTACAGTATTTTCCCCATTGTACTATTATATAATATATTTTAATAAATTCCTAATAGTGAATCGAGAAACTCAACTCAAGTAAGACCAATAAACAATCTACAAAACACACTAAGCTTACACAGGGTGTTACAGGGTTAAATGTCAACATTTCCATGGTGGATTCACTAAATAAAACGTAGTGCTACCAGAATGCGATTTCTATCTTGACTCATTCCTGAAATATTAACATTTTTGTGAATTCATTCTAAAATCAGAATTTTTTAAATAAAATCGTAATTTCTCAACTTTAGCGTCATTAAAATACAAACCCAAGGAGAGCAGCAACACAAGAACATCGTATTGATGGCTACTTGGCTATCTGACATGATATCTATATTCTTGTTGATATACCCTTTGTTCAAATGAAACTGGGTACATTTCTCAATTCATGGACCTCGGCCAGGAAGGTACTACCAGTGGGTATGTCCTCGTGAGTTCTAAGTATTTTGGTTCCAGGACTCCGACACTCCTATCCCCGTACTTTCCTGAATTCTAAATCAATATGTGTACCGGTAGAAGATGCCGTTCTCAATTATCACTCAGATCATGCACGTACATCAGACACAACAAAAGACTCCAAATGACCGACTGGAGGAGACCCGGATGATTCCGAAATGGCCAAATCTTTAGACGTTTTAAAATTGAGCAGATGACATGAGCAGTAACATGACCTCTTTTTTGGGGATGAGCAGTATTTTTCCAGGAAATTCTTTTGGATTTTTTATACCAATTTGAAAATTGACATTTTTTGTCTTTATACAACATAGTCCCGTTGACGGTGTATTTTTAATAGAGGTAAGCATCACTTTCCTCTCCTTCGTCTTATCCAAAGTTCCATCAGGACTTTTACAGTTGTTTTTAACTTACCGTTGGACTGCTCAAGTTTAAGAATATATAAGGCATTCTCTTACTATATTTACGATAGTCTCAAAGATCCTGTAAGATGATCCCTACGAAATTTATATTTTTGGTCAATTATTGTGTTTGGGGGGGGACCGCGGTAGCCGAGTGGTTAGCATGAGAGACTCTCACGCCGCGGTCGTGGGTTCGATTCCCACCNCTAATTTCATGGTCCGCTTGACCAATTAATATATTATAATTAATTAAGGTTTTTAGTTGAGATAAAAAAGTCAATGGCACGAGGGGGATTCGAACCCACGATCTTCGGCTAGATACTTCAGTTGAATATGCCACTTTTTGGAGGCACTCTGCAATTAGGATATTCCAAGCAGACATTTTTGAGTCGTTTTTTTTTTTGCCTTATGATCTTTGCATATTAGCCATGACGAATTCTTATATATATGTTGTTCAAATTGGGGGTTATCGGGAAAAAAGGGCCAGGGGCGACGGTGGGAATCGAACCCACGACCGCAGCGTGAGAGTCTCTCATGCTAACCACTCGGCTACCGCGGTCCCTTGAGACAAGTTGCACAGCCTTATAATTTGCCAGACAACAGTGTCTCTTTTAAAGATTTTGCAGAAAGTAAAAATAACCGAAGAAAGTCGACGTTACATATTAACGTCATACTTTTTTTAAGCACAGTTATATTTGTTTAAACTAATTTTGAAATTTGCCGCGCACTACCTCGACTCGATTGTTAAGAGGGAGGTTAAACTGTAGTGTAGATAACAAGTTAGGAGTTAAAGTGTTGAAAATCTAATACAAATAATAGCTCTAATTGTCGTTTCTTTTGTATTTTTACAGGTAAATTTGTATTATAAAACATTTATTTACATTTCTTGTTAGTCATAAACTTCTTTTGTGTTTTTACAGAGCAACACAATTTGGCTTATTATTTCATACCCTAAACGCCTAATAAGATGGTGTATTTTCTGTAAATTACACATTAGAAAACGACAATTTTGCGAGAAGAATGGAAAAATTAAGATTTGAGTTTGTGGTAAAAGATGGAAATTACTCAAAAACAAATGAAATTTGTATATCCTCGATTACGGCAGTCGACGGGCGGACCTTTCTCGTTCCAGACAAACTTCAACCGGTGAAAATGCAAAAGGCGATTACGGAAACGCAAACTTACCAAAAAGTAAAAAGTACTCTACAAAGAAGACACGATAAGAGACAGGTATGGATTTCATTAACAAAGGAGATAAGTAATGTTTACGTAGATGCAGATGGGAACATGCAGTTTATGGATTATATATTAGAGGAGATTACACCAACAATACAAATAAAACAAGAATTGCTGGAATCTCAGAAGAAGCCTCCTAAGCCTCCAGAGACTGCTCACACTAGGCAAGCCCCTCTCCTCCAGGAGCCTAGATTTGGTGTCCTCCCTCAGCTGTACAGAGGGCAAACTCAATCCAATTATATGGACTTTGAAGATAATGCGTACACAAATGGGCGGCCCTCTGCCTATGGTGACTACGTGAGCGAGCACTACCCACCGGCTCAGTTGATAATAGGTTTATGGTAAAAGGCGTGCCAGGGCGTGAAGGTCTTGTGGCCCTTCCACCGCCACCTCCACCACCTAGAGGTGGTACCTTCCAAGATCTTGCACCAACTAATGCTGTTCCAGGAGGTGCAGGCTGTGTCCTGATGGCATATGGCCTTGACCCTAACAAATTTAACCCTGACAAGTTGTTCAATATTTTCTGTTTGTATGGAAATGTCATAAGGGTTAAGTTTTTAAAGACGAAAGAAGGATGAGCAATGGTACAAATGGGTGACAACATTTCAGTTGAAAGGTGTATAAATCATCTAAAGAATATGCCACTTTTTGGAGGCACTCTGCAATTAGGGTAGGCTTTTTTTGCTTATTTTTCCTTATATTTATTATGTTATTAACAATTTTGTTTCAACAGATATTCCAAGCAGACATTTTTGAGTCAAGTTGCACAGCCTTATAATTTGCNTCTAGTTAAAAGTTGACAACCTGAGGTACAAATCAGAGGCTAGAATTTAAATATATCTACTTAGCTTGCATATAAAAGCAGAGATTCAATTACGAAATATGGCTTCAGTTTAAAAGAAAACACACGTGAAAGACCAGAAAAAGAAAGAATACTCGCAGGCGATGACCTGAGTTGTTTGTCGGCCCATAAATCAACCCCCCCCCCTTGGAGGCGAGAGTCACGCTGATCACTCTGTTACCGTGCTCAAATATACAGTCACAGGGAGTCCCGTGAACAAACGTTAACACTTCGGGAAGTTATCCTACATGACAAATCGACTAAAAGTCTTCATTGGCTAAAGTCTGATTCTCGATTTTATTTGTAAAGAAACATCTATTTTTGATAAGAGATATACTTTAGTTTACATTACTGTTTATTACAAAAGCCTGATCAAAATCAAATTAGTTCGGTTTTCTTTTTGAGTCTTTTTTCCGAAAGGGCCATAGGAGATTTTGACAGCACTGCCAAGACAATTCATAGTGACATAATAATTACTGACTAATCAATTCTTTTTGGATCTTCTATTTAGCTGTTATTGAAAAAGAGATACAATAGACAAAATAAATTCCTTATGTTAAAATATTTAAAATATTGTATTTAAAACATGGTCAATAAATTAGTTACTAATTAGTTTTCGTTATGGCGCCCAAGTAAGGGTTGACTCTAGGTCGTGAAATTTCCCCAACGCAATTGTTCCCTTCGGTAAAAGAAACGTATTTTTTGTTTGCAATCATCAAGTGAGCTCGATCATTAGGAAAGGCAGGAAATGCCCGGTGCAATGATCCTACTACTCCTCTTAAGATTATTTAGACTTAAATTACCCACCCTTATCTTTTTAATTAGAACCAAGAGGGTTTTGTGATCCTTTTATGACCATAGTTTATAAGCCTAAATTTTGATAACAATAATTAAAACAAAAATTCTTTAAAAAGTATATTTTATAACATTTTGTACATGGTGGTTTGGTTGTTTCTAATTACCCTGATCTGCCTATCCTCGCAGATATAGTTTTATATTACGGACGGACGTTGCACCAAAGGAATTACGAGCGAAGTTGCCTAAGAGTTAATCCCGGTCCCTGAAGCGTGGAACTTTTCCTATGATGGTTTTTTTTCTACCATTTCTAGTAGGCTATGCAGTTGACATTGACTCAGTTTTCAGAGGTCAAGCAGAGAAGGCAGAATCAGGTGATGAGAAAGGTTAGTTCGTGGTTTGAACATGGCTTGAACCTGGCCGCCGAAAAAACTTACTTTTGACCCGACGCCATATCCCACCATTCTTGAATATCACGTGTTGGGACGTCTGTAGTAAGAAAGCTGTAAAATATTTATGTGTCAGGCTCGATAGTAAAATGTGATTATGTGAGCAGATCGGAGTCCCTTGAAAAAGGCTTCCATCGTCCACCTGGCTGTTGGTAGATTTGGGGGGCCCCTCAGCGAGAAGTCGTTGCCGTATAATGTCGGTCAGCTGCTCAATCATGCCTTACGGGTGCGAGTTATGAGCCGAAGCATTAATAAAAGATAAATACCGAAAAGTTGGTAAATTGGCTGAAGTATAGACCGCTCCTACAGAACGCATACCGAGTCAGCAGTCCTGGTCCTTTTGACCTAATGGCTTTGCATAGAAAATCGATCAACGACCACAGGGTTACTTTCCGCGCGGATGAGGCAAGAAAAATGACCAAAAGGAATTCCTCACGTAAATGAAAAGAAAGGTTGCCTTACGAAACGCGCGGGAGGTGGACAGCTCGACTGGTACTAGACCCCCATATTATGATCTGGTTGCGGGTACCACGTTGAAGGTGGACAGAGTACGCCGGAGAATGTAGTCGGAATCATGGTTGGACGACTGGACGAGGATGATTAAAGACGGTTCTGCCAGGAAAGAAGGTGATGCTCGACGGTCACCTTTGGTCCTGTAGAACAAGTGATGAATTTGGATCTTGAGGTGGTTCATCAGCCTTAGTAATGATATACTACTCATAGCGGTTCCAGTACGGAAAAGATTCGGTTCAAATAGGGTTTTTTTAATGGGGCAAGTACAGGAATAGTAGCCTCATGTCGCAACATCAGGTTTACCTCCTAGTAGTAAAAAAAAGTTATAGGTTGAAAGTTATTTAAGTATACATCACCATCCTATACAAACGTAGAAGTCACATTTACTCCATTAAAGAACTCGATTTTTCTCTCACGATTCATGCTAATAACTTACTTTTACTTTCCAGATGTCATACACTCACACCAGTACTCGGGGCGGGATTAAACCCACTCCATTCTAACTAATAACGTAGTTATATAACTTAACTCCCCAAAATACTCAACATTCCTTGGGGCGGGGTTAAATAACCTCTACCTTTTATGCCAATAAATTACGTTCTCCCTTCCCCCGGAATGCTGGACTTGAGGAGGACGTCCATACTTTTTTCTTTCCAATGACAACTTGAAGCATATCTGATCACAGGATAACAAACTCCTGAAATAAAACCATAACTATACCAGGTTATTTGTAAAAAAAGAAGTTAGATCTAGATTTTAAAGAAAATTCATTATGAAAAATGATGTATGAACCCGTGATGACGAAAGCGGAAAACCTGCTGCCAAGGGCATAGGGTAAAACAAGGCATTATCTAATGAAACATTTCGCTGTCGGAAAAAAATCTCCAAGTCAACCAATAAAGCAACATTTTTCTCATAAATTTTCTCCGAGCTTTAAGCGTTAAATTTACGATCCATTTCCATCTCTTGGAGGACTGTGGATTGGCTGGAACCAGATCCACCAAGGATCCTTTTTTATCTAAACGAAATCCAGCTCCGAAGATGAGAAAAATGCAATTTCTCTAATGCTGCAATTATCCTTTATTATCGGCTCAACGCTTTAATCGCCGGTTTAAAAAATTTATAAATGCAATACATCCATCCTTAATGGCGATCCTTTCTCATAGCTGAACTTTTTCTCTCGCTCTATCTTTCCCTCTTTTTTTACCAAACCCTTCCGCAATGCAATTTAAACTTTAACCTGGTTGTATTAAATGGAAGTTTATCTTATAAAACGAATTTGTCTAACTTTTAACACTAATATTCGACTTTTATCCCGAAGGGTTGTCACTCTCCGAGGTTTACACCTCAGGGGAGTTAACCTACCCCGTTATGCGATTCGTCGCTTCTATTCAGCCAAGCACGGACATCGTCGCTTTCCAACCAAGGGGGTTAGACTGTTGATGGGCCAACCTGTATATAACTACTTCCTGTTCCATCTTGGCTCAATCTGGGTATCATAGGGCCTCTTCCTAAAAGGTTTGGTTTTCTTCCAATGGTCTCTGTTACCTATGACCTTGGAAGGGTTTGTGAAAGTTCAGTTTTCTTCTCATTTTGTCAAGTACCGTTGTCGCCATATCATTCAATTAATACTCTTTGTAATTTTTTTTATTGCTTCTTGATTTGTTTCTTTGTATCTCGGGATCTTGGCACTGTTGAAAGCCATGTTTTGAACATGAATGTGTAAGGGTGGTAGATCAAGTGCGGTTTTCAGCGTCCGTGTTATGTTAAAACACAGTAGCCTTTGCAGACTTTTCAGTCTGTTTTTCGCCAGCTTGTTCATTGTTTTTTTGCCCCAAGACCAAAGTTCAACATATGACCAGTGGTCTGACCGTTGTGGTTTATGACCAATACGACATCCTGGGTTTATTCCCAGCTTTTTGCTTCTTAATCTCTGGCCCGTTCTTAGTAGTGCCTTTGCCTTATGTAATACGTTGTCCATATGACTTCTCCCCCTGAAACTTTAGTATTTAATTAATTAATTAATTATTTTTTGAGATTTGGTATCATCGTGGGTGCATTAACTTTTAATTTCCTTCTTCTTATGAATAGTAAGACAGATGTTTCATTGATTGCTATTTAAGCCCATTCTTTCACATCATTTTTCTACTGTGTTTAGACTCTTTTGGGAGAATAAATATTCTTATTAAAAAAAGTAAAAGAAAAAAGTAAAGTAATTCTTGTCATACAAGAGGTCTTAACGTCCACCTACCGTTGTGTGTTGCAGACTATGGATGAAACCACTTTACAATACTTCTTTCATGCTATTATAAATAAAAAGCCATGGGCTGTGCCAGGATTCGAACCCAGGACTGCTAGCGTGGAATATACGAATCAGACGCCCTTACCACTCGGCTACAGCCATCCCTTTCAGTTTCATTATATTAAGTTATTTAGTCTTGGCATAAATTTTCAGGGTTAACCTAATAAATATATAAAAATTAAAGGATTTCCTACGTTAGATTTTCAAACAGAAATGAAATCAACTTTTAAACAATTGATATAAACATCAAATCAAAGGAGCATAAGAAAAAAACGCTAAGAAATATTTTAGTGTGGTGATTTTAGACAGTATTATAAAGCTTAATATTTGAAATTCGCACTGTATTATTTATGGATAAATGCGATAAAACAATGCGATTCAATGGAAATGTTATTAATGGATAATCGCATTCTAGACTAATCAATTGTCAACGGTATTTTAATTAGGTCTATACTAAGGCGGGAGATTTTAATTAAAATTGTCCCTTTTTGTTTCCTTTTCATTTGCCCTCGGCTTCTTATAAACTGTTACGTTTTATATAATCCAAGCAATCCCTCGGCCCAGAAATGATGAGGATGAGTTTAAACCAGAAGAGTAAAGGCTTGAATTACCCATTTTAACTGATAATCAACTCCAAAGGATAACGAGCTTTTTTTTTGTCTTTTACATCCATTGTCCTAGAAACTCTCTCAATACAATTTTCAGATATTTACACAAGTTTCAGACTCATTACGCAAAAAATTAAGGATTAAGCAAAAATTATCTTTACTTTTTGTTTGTAAATTAAATAAATTTGTTGAAAACGTGATTACTACCACATTAGATGTCTTTACTAAAGACCAATTTGTCATTTGTGCATCAAGAACGGAGCTCAAAGATCTTCTTATTTAAACCTATGTA